ACTCACGTGATCACAGTCAGATCGGTCTTTCCTCATTGCACGTCCGGTTGAGAATCGAAGTTCAACGGAAAAATCAACCTGCGCGTTTTCGCCCGCGAAGAAACTATCGTGTGTTTGCCGTTTTTATTATCTATTACCTCACGTTAGCGGTTTAATTGTATCCTTAATCTCTTTCTGGATCTCAGGTTCAGTGCGAATATAATCGGATTAGAGAGAGAGAAAGAGAGAGAGAGAAATTTTAACTAATCACTGTCAACGTAATTCGCTGAACCGACGCAATAAATACACGTTACAAGCAAAAATTATATTAAATATGTAAAAAAAAAACTGGACTGCATTTCCGCAACGGAAACCAATTAGAATCCCACGACTCGTTCCGCAGCCAGTGTGTCTGTGAAGCTATATTTTCCATCGAAATAAAAGTTTAATACTGCAACACAAAGCGAAATATGTATTATACTTGAACGCGCTCGTAATCGCGCCGGAACGGTATCGAGCCCGCTTATGTTCAGCACGTGCGAATTTACGTCACTGTGACGGAACTCGAAGGAGAAAGCACATTCATCGAAAAGAGTCTCGGTGAAGGAGGTTTTGTGCATCCCTGAGCGTGGTGGAGCGAGAAGATCGTGTGGGAAACGCGAAGGGCGGAAGAAATAAAAATGCGAAAGAGCCAAGCTAGACGTGACGTCTGTTGAACCGATTTGCCCACGTCGCGGGTTCAGCTGTGAAAGACGGAGAGAGAAAGAGAGAGGGAGAGAAGAGAAAGAACGCGGGCGAGGAAAAAAGGGAGCAGGATTTACGTCGGGAGTAAAAGAAATGAAACTGCGAAAGTGCAATGGCACTTACGACCCTCTTCGGGTTACCTCGTGAGAGCTGACTGATGCACGCCAGTAGCGCAAGATTCGCGGCATTTCCGTCTCGAAGGATTCGTTTAGCCGCGACACGACGAGAACCTTGGTTGTAGACCTCGCATAATATGTTATCTTTTCTCCCGAAAAATGGATTTCTCCTATTTCATTCCTACACCCTGTTTCGGATGTTAATTATTTACTTATTAATTAAGTTAATTATTTACACGGTATAAAAAATTTTGTGTTAAAATTTTGGTGTTACTTTAACATGAGGAATATGTTAAAAAGTACACATATATATGTTAATATATTTATCTTGTTAACATATTATTTTTAACATATTCACCTTATTGAAATAACACTAAAATTTCAGTGAATTGTTATTAATATGAAATTTGTTATTATATATTCGGAAATTTAACAATCGGCGAGTTGGTTATTCCTCGACGCTTTCCCGCGACAAATTAAAAATAAAATAAATTGCGAATTGAGATGAAAATTAATGTTCAATAAAAAACGTGACATGACACGAAAATCGCGATCGTCGACTGAAAGGTAAATACATCGATGCCGCCTTTTATGTATTTTGTGTATTTTATCAATTTTACGATTCGTCGTAATCATTTAATTTAGCGGTTTCTTCGCGATGTCGGTCAGTTAATACTGCGATTTATGCAGCAGATGGAAATAATAGACCGCCGGTGAACCATTACCGAGGAATTTTTGCGTCTTTCCGTCCCGATCGGCAGAAAATCATTATTTTATCATCGATGAAGCATTATCTTCCGGCAATCGGGGTAATAATTGTCCACCGTAGCCGACTCGGTCCCGAAGATATCCCATTGTTCGAAGGATCCTGGCCCGAGATACCAGATATTTTTCATCGTCCTGTATCTTCGTAACGTTCGCGTATTGCGACCACCCCGTGGTATCTCGCATGAGGTCTCTGGAGCACACTTAGGCCTCGTACACACTGAAAAATGCGATTCTATCTCCCGTTGACCGATAGTGCCGAACCTAACCGTAATATAGGCCTTGCGACGGGCATCGCGAACATAAAACTTGTTATTTTCGAATAGAAAAATCGATTGCGTCAGTGATATGATTCGACGACTCTTTCATTTAGTTTAGAAACAGCGAGATAATTAATTCAGGTTATATTTTCAGATTGCAGTCCGATACTTTCGGATTAATTTACTTGAACAAATATTAGATCGCTCATACAAAATATATAATTCTTCAGTTATATCCTATCGTTAGATTAAACAAAAAAATAAAAAACGTTTTGCACAGAAAAAAACTCGGTTTCTACTGAAGGAAGAACTCAGGACTCGCTGCAACGAAATTAACGATGTATTTTAACACGTTGACTGCCACGGAACTTTTCACGATTCTGGTCTAAGAAGCTAATTTGATTTAATCAAGTAATGAAGCGACGAGATAACTCGTAGTTGGCAAGTAAACAACCTACGAGATATCTTGTAGTTGGCAGTCAACGTGTTAAGAAGAATTTGACGATTTAATTTCAAAGGAAGGGTGTTACTGGGTGTGACGAGAATGTCGATCGATGTTCTCGCCGAGAAAGATTTGCCAAGGAATTCGTCCATGCGTTTTAACGAGATATTCTTGAGATGTTAATTTCAGAAATTGATCTTTTCCCTGAAATACACGGAAAAACTCTCAATTCCTGCAACCTGAATAGGAACCAGATGAAAAGTCAGTGACAAGAAACGATATCTCTGTAAGAGCCTCAGCAGAATGGTTGACTTGTACTTATAAGACAATGTTTTATGCCTTCAATTTGTCGGAATTATCATTTTTTCATTTTTTTTATTATGCACGGTTTGCCATTAGTTACAAACAGAACGGCTTCTTAGTTTAAGACTCGAGACAGTCATTGTACGTTATCTAAGAACAAAAATTTAAGGCATGAAAAATTATCTTAAATCGATAAGTCAGTCATTCTGTTAAGGCTCTAACTGAGAATATTTGTGTGGACATTCAGCTAAAACATCGTTAAAATTCGATTGAGACAACTGAGAGCAATCGGCTAAGTGGAATCTCCTCACAGGAATCATCCTGTCTCTACAACCGAGTTTTCGCTCGGCCTCTAGGAAGCAACGGAAAATTCAGTTACAACAATGAAGTAGTTTTTTCCGTGTACAAGCGCGGTTTTGGACTTGGTTATCTCCATCGCGACTGAACGATACGTGAGATCGCGTTACGAGCGTCCGACAGTAGAAACGACGTAATTACGATCGGAGCGATCGTGCCGACTATTATCTATCGCACGTACTTATACACAAATACAGAGAGAGAGAGAGAGAGAGAGAGAGAGAGAGAGAGAGAGAGAAAGAGAGAGAGAGAGAGACAGAGAAAGAGAGGGGGGGGGGAAGAGAACATACGAAGCAGTTCTTGCAAAGGTTACCACACGCCATCGCGGCTCGTATTGTAACCTTTGCGAGGCTCTGTCGCAATCCCTTACAATACGCGCGTTTGCCGCCGCCATCGCGAGCGAGCGAGCGAATCTAACGCTTTATCACACGAATTAATAGTGCGCGGCGTTTTTAATAATCCCGCTGATTTATGGAACGCACGCCGCGCACGGTATTACGATCGTGCCCGGTGCGGCGCCTGGCTGTTTTTTCTTCTTCTCTTTCTCCTGTGCGTCCGCGTGCCTTCACCGATGCGAATAATAAAGACCGCCGGGTTGCGCGAGAAGATCCGCTCGTGAGAGCAGGAGTGATCTTCATGCCTTTCCTATTCCTATTAAACGGTCTCTTATCGTTCGCGGTGCCGCCCGAGAAACCGTAATTCTCGCCACGCTCTTGGCTCACAGTGAAATTATTAATTTTCTCCCCGTATAAAAGCTCAAGCACGCCCTCTTTTCTTCCCTATCGGATTCGTTTTTTCGAACAAATTCGACAAAGACCAAGTTCACTCGTCGCTGTGATTTCGTTAGAACGACGTAGATGAGATCCATCGATTTTTTGGCACGTGAATCCTCATTGAACGCATCACAGTGAAGAAAGAGTTTGATTGGATCTACTTGACAATGGACTACCAAAGAAGTTTTGGTTGAAGGAAACAGAATTTCTAGTTACAAGAACCAAATTTGGCTCATGAGAACTGAGAATTTTGCCTCTTAGAACGCGTTTCATTGTCAGGTAGATCCAAGTGAAATTTATTTTTCAGTGCAGGTAGTATGACATAAAAAGAAACGACAAAGCGAAAATGCGGGAATTTCTCGAACGCACGCACGCGCGTATACGAGGTATCGCGATTCGACTCGTCCTCGATGGAGAGAAACCTCTGCAGAATGTGCGGTCGTTGTGAGCCGATCTTAACGCGATCGGCGCTTATTGAGAAGCAGCCGTGGCGCAGGATAGAAGAGGAGCGAAACGGCGGTGCTCGGCAGTGAGGAGGAAAGAAGAGCGGGCGGGCGTCCACCTCCTCTTCAGGGTGCTCTTACCGTGCGTAAATATAGGGCATACCACGTAGCGAGTGCACCGCGGAGGGTGACCCCGATGACCCAAGTGGTACCCGAAGGCAGGCAGCCTCGATGAAGAGGACGAGCACGCGAAAGGAGCGAGGAGGGCGAAGGGGGTGGACGCGAGGGAGGAACGAATCGTCGAGCCGGCCCAAATGGAGAAAAAAGACAAGTTCGAGAAAGAGAAGAGAGAGAGGGGAGGAGTAGAAGAAGAAGACGAGGAGGAGGAAGAAGAGAAGGACGGATGAAAGAACGACACGAGGAGAGAAGAAAGGAGAGAGAGAGGGAGGGAGGAGGGGAGGTGGTGGTACGCTAAAGAGACGTACGTTCCCACACAAACCCCCCAAGATGCGTCCTGGCATGGTCGGGCCTCTGGACCCCCGATGCCCAGAAGCTAATAAAAACACCTCGTATACTATGGGGAAGATAACTATAATTATCTTGGATATTCTTGTCGATTTCCATGTTATATCTAACGATTTTCCTATTCAAACTAATGGAATACTGGGTAACGATTTTTTTCAACAGGCCGGAGCTAGAATTGATTATTCGACAGGACATTTAGAGGTTCAAAATACAAGAGTTCCCTTTTATTCTTCCGAATCTATAATAGTACCCGCGCACTCCTCTTCTTCTTCTTCTTCTACCCCTTTGTGCCGCTAAGCGTCGGGGCATTTCAGCCACTTATTGAAGTTCCTTCGATCACGCGCTATTCTCCGCACATCACCGAGGGTCTTCCCTCGCTTCCCGATCAGTCCCATGATGTACTCCTCCCATTCAATCCGTGGCCTTCCTCGTGTTCTTCTTCCTATTGGCCTGGCTTGCCACACCTGCTTTGCCTTCCTTCCATCCTCCATTCTTACTAGATGACCAACCCAGCCCAGCGCTCTCCTCTCAACGATATCCATTATTGATTCCTGCTGAAGCTCGTCTCTCACCATGGTGCTTCTGATGTGATCTCTTCGAGTTTTCCCAGCAATTTTCCGCAAATATCTCATCTCTGCTGCAACCAAACGATTTTCCAGTTTTTTATGCATTATCCAGCTCTCTGCACCATAAAGGAGGGTTGGCAGGTAAATGGCACGTTAAACCCGAACTTTTGTTTTTCTGGTGATCTCCTTCTTCCCTATGATAGTGTTATTTATGCCATAGTACACTTGATTAGCTTTTCTAATTCTGTTGTTTAGTTCTGCATCTAACTTTCCATCCTTTCTGAAGATGGTGCGCAGGTACTCAATTTGTTCTATTGTACTTGCTCAATATCCTCATTATTCCATTTGATGTGAAGCTGTGCTTTTTCGCCCTTGGTGAACTTCATGACCTTGGTCTTACTCCCATTCACTTCCATCCCACGGTCCTGGAAGGCACAAGACCATTCAGTAAGAGCTTGCTGAAGATCCTCCTCATTCCCAGCTAGAACTAAAATATCATCTGCATAGACCAAAGATTGGATATATATGGGTCTCATGTTCCAGTTGTCAATCTTAATTCTTCTGGTTCTTCTTCTACACTGCTTGATGACTTGGTTTATGAAGATCACAAAGAGAAGAGGGCTCAAGCTATCTCCCTACTTCACTCCTTTTTCCATTTCAAATTCCCTAGAACATTCTCCAGCTATCCTCACTACCCTTTGGACTCTGTTATACATGCTTTGAATGCGACGTTGGAGAGTTTTTGTGACCTTTTCTTCTTCAAGTGCTGCCCAAAGCTGTTCCCTGGGGACGGAGTCAAATGCGGCCCTAAGATCTATGAATACGGCTAGGACATCCTTCCCACGACTAAGCCTTTTGTCTATGACAGTTCTTAGTGTGAATATATGGTCGTGTGTTTGTCGATTTGGCCGGAATGCGCACTGCTCTTCTTCCAGATTTTCTTCTACCTCCTGTCTCAGCCTCTTCTCCAACAGTCGAGAGTATACCTTCGCAGCCACATAGGAGAGACAAATAGCTCTATAGTTTGCACAGTCCAGAGTACTGCCCTTCTTATAAATAGGGATGATGATGTTCTTCTCCCAGTCCTTTGGGATCTTCTAAGTGTTCCATGCTTGTTAGCATATCCTTGTCATCCACTTTACCACAACCTCTCCTCCGTACTTCATCAGTTCCGGTGAAATTCCATCCCAACCACCCGCCTTGCCCATCTTCATTTCAATGATAGTCTCTCTTACTTCACTCTGCATAATCATTTCCCCATTTTCTAGTTCTTTCTCTTTCACTGCATTATTAGCATTCTCTTGAGGATGCTGATCTGCATGGAACACACCTTCATAATATGTACTCCATGTAGCAAATATGTCCTGAGGTCTCGTTTGTATCTTCTGGTTGCTGTCTTTGATGTTTCTAATTCTCTTTCCCATTTTACCTTGGAGGGATCTTGGTATCTTCCAGAACTTCTTTTGATTGTTTCTGTATTCTGATTCAATTTCCTGGCCAAAGTCCTGCCAGCTCCTTTCTTTAGCCTGCTGTACTTGTCATTTAGCTTCATTGCGTGCTTCAACATAATTTCTCCAGTCCTCTGCCCTTTTTGTTCTCATGTACTCCTTCCACGCTGCCTTTTTCCTACTTACGCCTTATTTAACCTCCTCATTCCACCACTTTGTTCGTTTCATTCGTGTATTTACAGTAGTTTTCTCACAGACCTCTTCTGCTACTTTGAGGATATCTGTCTTAAATTTCCTCCATCTCTGTTCTAAGTTCCAGACTCCTTCGGGTTCCTCACTTTCTGTTTGCTGAAGTTTTTCCTCCAACTTCTTAGCATAGTTCTGTCTTACTTCTTCCTCTCTGAATGCAGAAAGTCTTATTTTTTGGAATCGAAGATGAGGAGCACTGAGTGGAGTCTTGAACCTTGTTTTCATAACCAGAAAGCGATGCTCCGTGCTCATTTCTGCGCTACGAAAGACTCTTACATCCAATGCTGCATATGTCATGTTCTTGGTGTAGCAAAAGTAATCAATACAGCTCTTTACTCCCCGGCCTACTGACTCAAAAGTTATTTTATGGATATTGTTATGGCGGAAAAAGGTGTTGCCAATCCTCAGCTCATTATCAATACAGAATTCCAGCATTCTTTCGCCATTGTTATTGATGGTGCGTTCTGCTCCATGTTGGCCCATATATCTATATCCCCGACGCATCCTATTTCCAATTCTAGTATTCCAGTCCCCCATCACAATAACATGTCTGCTTCCTTCCCTGGCTTTGTCTATAGTCTTTTGCAATTGCACATAGAATTGCTTTTTATTTACTTCTTCCATATCTTCATTTGGGGCGTAGACCTGCACCAGCGTAATGCTTTCTTCCAGTTCCACATCCACTGAGATTAGTCTCGAGCTGATAAGTTCCCAGCCTGTCACTTTGTTTTCCACTGCTTCAGACATAATAATGGCCACTCCTTCCTTTGCCCGCACATTCCTGTTGACTCCTGAATATCTCATTACGTGTCCCTCATCCAAATTAATTTGGCCACTACTCTTCCTCTTGGTTTCACTAACTCCTAGTATGGCTAGCTTGTACTTCTCCATTTCTTCAGCTATCTCTACCTCCTTTCCAGTCAGTGATGTCACATTCCAAGTACCAATTTTCATATACCGTTTCGTGCCAAGTTGCATCCGTGATATCCGTCCGGCTACTCTCATTTGTCTCTGAATAGATGCTTTCGCTCCACGTGGGTTATTAGCCCTACGGAAGTTAGCCTGATAAGGGGGCTGCCCTCTTGGCTGCCAGCCCGTTTTCTGTCAGGGTATCTTCCCTTAGCCTTTGGGATCCCCCCCCCCCCCAACTGCAAGGTAGCAAGTTGTGGTTTGCAGTTCCTCTGCCTACTCCGCCGTTGAGGTGTTTACAAAATACCTTTTTCCGCCTTCGTAGTCCTTGACTGCCAACCTCTAATGAATTTATGTGCCATTTCCTGCACGAAGGATTCATTTGGCCTCCAAAGTGAGAACTCCTCCGCCCATAGCCGTTGGTTCTCCTCTGGTTGTCAGGTTTGGTATTAGCTGCCTGACCCTCGGCCAGACAGTCGCAGGTAGTACCGTGTACTGTCACATACGGTAGCAGGATGATCCTGACCTGACCGGCAGTACCCGCGCACTCAAAAGCCTTATTCTTCGCACGCATAGGGAACCCGTACATCAAAGAAGGGTACCTACCGAAAATAAACTTCGGTAAAGGAGTAGAAGTAGAAGCAAAAACGATAGTAAAAAATAAAGACGGTAAAGCCTATATGTATGTTGCTAATTCTTTGGACACAGAAGTAGAATTATTGATACCCACTATTAATATACGACCGGCATACGCTAAGGATAATGAGAACAGAGACAGTATTACGGATAACGGTAACGAGATAAACGATTCTGACCACGAAGAAAGTGAAAACCAGGTTTCTGCGCTACTTGACAATAAGGTTAAAAGGAAAAAATTTGCCGACGAAGTCCCAGACACGATTCTAGAGGATGCGGGACGCGGAGAACAAAAGCTTTCTTTTCATTCAGAACGTAATAAAAATCGCGAGGAAAAGATTACTACATGGGCTGAAAAGTCCCGAGATTTTTAATGAAAACAAGCGTTTTTTGGGCAAAGTTATATTTATTCTTCAACATAGTTGCCTTCGAGTGCGATACACTTTATATAGCGATTTTCCAACATTTCGATGCCCTTTCTATAGTACGAAATGTCCAAGCCTTCGAAATACGTCTCGGTTTCCGCGATGACTTCCTCATTCGATGTGAATCTCTTTCCCTGGAGCCACCGCTTGAGGTTTGGGAACAGATAATAGTCGCTGGAGGCCAAATCTGGAGAATATGGCGGGTGAGCAACCAATTCGAATCGTAATTGGTCCAATTTGGCCATCGCTTTCAAGGACGTGTGCGATGGTGCGTTATCGTGATGGTACAGAACTGTTTTCTTCGCTATATGGAGCCGTTTTTTCTTTATTCCGTCGTTCATTTTGTCCAATAACGCTGCATAATACTCTTTCGTAACTGTTATTCCCTTCTGCAGGTAATCGATAAAGATTATACCATGCGCATTCCAAAAAACGGAGGCCAAAACCTTCCCGGCCGAGCGTTGNGGGCAAACGCGGCACCCATCGTGCAGATAGCTTTTTCATATCCAAAACATCGTGCAAAGTGTATCCCACCCGTTCTTTTGAGATACCAACGGTCTCAGCTAACTCGCGCAACTTCATTTTACGATCACTCAAAACGATTCGATGCACTTGCTTTACGATTTCCGCATTCGTAGCCTCTTTTGGTCTTCCAGAGCGAGGTGCGTCTTCGGTGCTTGTACGACCCATTTTAAATTTACTAAAACATCGATAAACTGTTGTTCTCGAAGGAGCAAATATAGGATAACATTTCTTCAACCATTTAATTGAATGTTCAGAAGTTTTTCCCATCAAAAAATAATGTTTGATCAATATGCGATATTCCTGNTCATCAAAAAACAATGTTTGATCAATATGCGATATTCCTGTTTTTCTGTTTTTTTTTACGAAAGCGAAGGTAGCGACACTTAAACGACTGTAGCTTGTAAACGAATGAACGAAATGTCATGAAACTTCACACATAAACTAGTAACAGATGAACCTCTCGAAATAAATCATGTTCATTTTCTAGTGGCGCCACCTACTGAAAATCCCGGGACTTTTCAGCCCATGTAGTACTTCCTACGCCTCTCATGAGAACATTATCTCCCACAATTTTCCTAACGAAGGGGACGATTTCTAGATTCCCCACGATTCCTTAAAAAATATTTCCAATCAAGGGGACGATTTCCAGATTCCCCACGATTCCTTAAAAAATACTCTCAACCAAGGGGACGATTTCCAGATTCCCCACGATTCCTTAAAAAATATTCTTAATCAAGGGGACAATTTCCAGATTCCTCGAAACCCTTCCAATAAATCCTTAATTAAATTCCAAGTAAAACATCACCGAACCTCCCCTGAAACCATAAAAAACATTAATTCAGGCGACCCCTTCCAAGACTCCCACGCATTTCCAATCGAAAATTTTTACAAAAAACAAAACGAAAAATCACAGGCCTTCCATAAGAAGACTGATCCTTTAGATTCTAGCGTATAGAGGGACGACGCCCAGACTCTCCACTTGCGGTTAAGTAAAAATATAAGTAAGAATCAGGAAGAAAGTTTCCAATTTTTCTATATAAATTCCTATATTTCTAAGCAAGGGGTCAATTTCCGCACACCCCATATATCCCCTGAAATAAATAAAAATCAGGAGGAAAAATATTATAGCTTAACCTTAGAAGAGAATCTTGAAAAGAATCTTTAAGGCGTTAGTAAAAATTTTAATATCAATAACCAAAAATTAGAATATCGAAAACAAGATCCAATACCCCTTTTTAGTGATGTTGCCAGTAAATTTAACGAAACTCAGGAAGGAGCATTTAAAGTCTCCTGTGAAGATGTTAAAACTCATAAAATTAAGGAACAGAATATAAATATTTCAGCCAAACAACCAATCCCTAATAGAACCTCAGGTGTAAAACCAGTATCTCCAAAACTCCCCTGATTTCGAAGGTATTACAGGCGATAACGAACATAATATAAATAATACAAATAATAACACAATTTCACATGTTCACACAATTTCAGTTCCAGATTTTCCGGTACCAATAACTGACATTAGTAGATCCAAGACTGACGTGCATTCTATCGACGGACTTAACGAACGCACTAATACTGTAAATTATAACGAAAATTCTAATAATCCAACTTTGAATACAAATAATCTTCATGTTCTTTATGTAAAGCCAACTGACACTTATGACGATGACCGACTAAACGACTTACTAAAATTAATTAATTTGGACCACTTAAATTCAGAAGAGACAACCAGTATATTAGATTTGATTGAGGCCCATCAAGAATACTTTCAATTGCCTGGAGAAAAATTGACTGCAACGCACGTACTACAACATCGTATACCGACTACAGACGACTATCCGATAAATACTAAACAGTACAAATTTCCACAAGTTCACAAATTTGAAATAGATAAACAGGTGCAAAAACTTCTGGACGGCGATATTATCCGACATTCTCAATCGCCGTATAATACTTTCATCTGGATAGTGCCTAAAAAGGCGGATGCACACGGTAATAAACGTTGGCGTATGGTCTTGGATTTCCGCTCTCTAAATGATAAGACTGTTGGAGACACTTATCCGTTACCTAATATAATTGACATCCTCGATCAGCTCGGTGGAGCTCAATATTTTTCCGTTTTTGATTTAGCTTCTGGATTGTATCAAATTGAGATGGATCCACGCGATAGTTATAAAATAGCTTTCACTACACCTTTTGGACATTATGAATTCAATCGAATGCCTTTCGGATTAAAAAACGCTTCTGCAACGTTTCAAAGATTAATGGACATAGTTTTATCGGGAATACACGGACAAGAAGTATTTGTTTATTTAGATTATATAGTGTTATACGCTTCTTCTTTAAAAGAACATAAGGGCAAATTTGAAAAATTAATGCAGCGACTTAAAGAAGCTAATTTAAAATTGCAACCGGACAAATGTCAATTTCTGTCCAAGGAAGTCAATTATTTGGATCACGTAGTTAGCGATAAAGGCGTCAGGCCAGATCCTAAAAAATTTGAAGCTGTACGCGAATTTCCAACATCTAAAACGTCAAGGAACATAAAACAATTTATAAGATTAGCTGGGTATTATAGGAGGTTCATACCTGAATTTTCAAAATTAGCTTGACCTTTAACACAATTGTTAAAACACGAAGTTCCTTTTCAATGGGGAACAGCACAGCAACAATCATTCGAGGTATTAAAAAATGAATTATGTAAAGAACCAGTCTTACAATACCCAGACTTCTCTAAACCATTCATCCTAACGACTGACGCATCAGGTTACGCAATAGGAGGTATTTTATCACAAGGAATCATAAATAAAGACCGACCCATAGCTTATGCATTTCGCACCTTGAGCGATAATGAAAAGAAATACGATACTTATGAAAAAGAAGCCTTAGCAATTGTATATTGCGTCAAACATTCTAGGCTATATTTGTACGGAAGGAAATTTACCTTAATAACAGATCATAAACCTTTGATGTGGTTTAAAAATGCTCAAGATGCGAACATGCGAATACTTCGATGGAGATTAAAACTAGCAGAATACAATTATGATGTAATACATAAAGCCGATAAAACAAATGTAAACACGGACGCCTTATCAAGAAATCCCATAGACACATCGTCAGAAGATTGCAAAATAATTAATCCCAAGACCAAACTAAACCCAAATAACCCACAAGAAGTTGAGCTTATCCGACGATTATTGGAAGAAGATCACGACTTCGAAGAATCAAATGAGGAAAATATCCTTAACTCGCAATTACTCGGAAACCACGATACGGAGGAGTCAGATGGAGAAGACATACCTGAAATGTATCTGCCGGAAGACCACGCAATAACTGAAATCTTTCCTACAGATACTATACCCTTTACCCCAGAAGAATTAGCGGAACCCAGTACGACGCAGATAGTCGACGTACTAGTATATGCACCCGAATCGGTCGAGCAAAAGGTGGAAGAACCGGTTGGCGTGGAACAAAATTGTCCAGATAAACCAGGCGAAATTCTTCACCGTATGTCGACGCGTAACCGAACAAAAATTGCAGCAGAAATAGCCGAAGAACCCGAAGAGATAATATTGATAACCCGTAAAAACCTACATCCGAAACCTTTACCTGAGGCTGCGGATGAAGAGGGTAGCGACAATGAAATTCCTACTGCAATAATAAGAAAATCGTGAGTCACAGATATTCAAATTAACCCTTTTTCTCTCACATAACACAAATTTTTTTTAAACTTTCAACCTTATATCTTTTAACGAAAAAATCATATGAAAATTTATCAAACATCATTTCTTATAGATTTTGACCTCTTCTTTCGAATGCTGTTGAGAAATTTTATCCAAATCGTAAGCCGGAAAAGTTATAGGCCGTTTTTCCGAAAAATTCACAAATTTTTCACGAGTTTTTTTTTTTAATGTTTATTTTGAGTTGGAAAAAATTTGCACACGCCATCGCAATCATTATAAACAGTGTTATAGATGTCTGCTCTTTC